CAGGGGGTGTGGCCTTATGACACACTTCCGGTGATGTCAGGGGGTGTGGCATATGCTAAAATGAGTTATGCTAATGAGTTCCCCTAGCTCTTTTTCTACAACACGACCCCTGCTTTCCCGCTGAGCCATGGCCCCTCTCCCCAAAACATACAGCGCAAACTGCCTTAGAATGAATGAGACTCTTGGTCCATCGAGGTCAATATTGTCAACTGAGACGGGTAGCAGCTCTCCAGGGTCTCAAAGATACAAATCCCACTAGTAGAAAAACACCGTCAAAGATTGCCGAAACAACATATTAAATGATTGTAAAGTCGGTGGTGTCACAACAACAACAGTAATGCATACTGTAACTATAACAAGGCATGAGATAGAGATACAATATTCACCGATACAAATTGCTGAAATCAGGGTTAAGTGTATTTTTCTGGCTTTTTTAAAAAAAAACTATTTTGTTTTTCATATGTGTTTTTGTGGTGAGGCGTTTGTGTCAATCTCTTTACAGTTCCACTTACGCAGCCAGCAAACTGAAGAAGTCGAAGGAAACGCCATCTTCCAAGTATCTAGAATGGGCGTCTTTGCAAAGGCTGTTCAGAAAATGTTATGACTATGTGGACTCCTCCTATCAAGTTACACTGACTACATGGACTTTATGTCTTATCTTTAAAGGGGGAAATATTGTATCTTATGCCTTATTATAGTTACAGTCAGGGGTCGTTTCCTGCAAGAGTGCACAGGAGCGGAGCTCCGGCAGTAAAGAGCCCAGGGGCGGGCACATGCAACAAGCCCCGCCCCCTGCTCCCAGCAGCTCTCAGTCAGAGCAAGAAGCAGCCAGGTAAGTTGCAGAGCCCCCCCTGGCCCCCCATTCCAAAACAGTCCAGTGGCACCTTTAAGACCAAGTTTTATTCAGGTACAAGCTCTCCCTCCTCTGCGAGGACAGATCTGCACATTCCTCCCCCACCCCCAGCTAGCAATCCAAAACAGTCCAGTGGAGCCTGAGCGGTGGGTGTTGCCTTCTGACACCCTTCCGGTGATGCCAGGGTGTGTGAGTTATGCTAATGTTATGCTAATGAGCTCCTGCACCTCTTTTTCTACGAAATGACCCCTGGTTACAGTATGCATTAATGTTGTTGTTGTGACACCTCCAACTTTATAATTGTTTAATATATTGTTTTGGCAATCTTTGATGGTGTTTTCTACCCGTGGAGTTTGGATATTCGGGACTCCTGTGACACTAGTCTTTCCCCCTAGTTGTTTGGACTCCAGGGGTCTCCGGCAGAGGTCTTTCACGTGGCCACCAATTCTTCGGCTGCGTGTCTTTCTGTGACAAAATTCCGGAGCCGATTCTAGACAGCTCCGTCTAAGACAGGGGTGTCAAACATAAGGCCCGGGGGCCGGAACTGGCCCGCCCAGGGCT